ATTTCCTAGACTTAATTCAGTAGGAGCTGGAAGCGGGGACTGGAAATCTGTAATTTTAATTGATTCCCAGGCTATTCTAATCTGCGGCCAAGGGGAACAAAGGCTTTAGCTAAATATTGCTCTTGTGCATATAATTTTCATAGAAAGTGTATCCTCTGGTTAGAAGTGTGGGGAACAGGTAGGGCTTGCTGCTCTCACAGCCCCCAGACCCCAGGACGCTAGCTTGTTTGCTGTCATTCAGCCATGGGAAGTCTGTGCCAGCCTGGCACGTTCCTTCTGGGCGTTGTCTGGAAACCATTTGCCTGGCCTCTTGAGCCTTTTCCCAGCTCAGGGGTGAAGTTTGGGGGTCGGTACCTGTGGAATAGAATCTTTCCTCACCTTGCCTGGGAGAGGTGCCATGTCTCACAGGGGTTCATGACTGCTTTTCACCACTGTGTGGCCACATCCTCATCCAGCAGATATTAAATAGAGAGCTTTAGAGAGTTCCCCTCTCCCTGGCTGTGAGGAAAATTCTCCTCAGACAGGGAGCTCATGTCTTGAGGTTCTAAGCGTGAGATGAGGCTGGGCCGTGCTGGGCTGGGTGCTGGGCTGGGTGCTGGAGTGGGTGCTGGGCTGTGTGCTGGGCTGTGTGCTGGGCTCTGTGCTGGGCTGGGTGCTGGGCTGGATGCTGGGCTGGGTGCTGGGCTGGGCTGCAGCCTGTGTTTGGGTCTAGAGTTGCTAGGAGCTGCTCTGCCTTCTGGGGCCTGGGTGGAGTAGTGGCTGGCTGGCTTCCAGGTGGAAGGCAGGTTTCTCAGTTCCTGAGTTGGGATTTGTTGCTCAGAAAAGGGAGTTGTCACAGGCTCCTGCCCTGTCCCCAGATGCTTTGTGGTCGGGAGCTCCTCTCTGGGGTAGAAATTGGGAGCTGTGGGCTTCACCCCTGGTTTTACCACAGATCAGCTCTGGAGGCACCTCCGTTACCTGGCAGGGGAAACCGGTCACCATGATCTCAGCAAAGGATTCATAGAATTGTGTGAAGCCACAGAGTCACAGGGGAAGAAAATGAAGTTAAGTCAAAGGCAAGAGCTGAGGGCTGACCCCAGAGGCTGAAGGGAGGGCTGGAGGGCTCCAGGCGTGGGCAGTGCAGTGGCTGAGGGGGACACAGGTGTGGCTTGTTCAGTCAGCTGAGAATGAGTGCCAAGGACATCGTGGAGGTCGTGGCCACGAATTCTGAGAGACACTGGAGAGCCTGTGGCCTGGAGGCCCCACCAGCACCTGCGTGATGCATGGGCACAGAGGCCAGCATCGCCGTGGGCTTTCAGGGCAGCTGGTGGACTGAGGGGCGTCTAAAGCAAATAGAAACTATGGAGAAACAAAGTGTCAGACACTACCTTGAAAAAAATCACCTTTCCCCATGACCCTAAAGATGTCCATGTCCCAGTGACAAGGGATGGCAGGTTGATGGGTTTCGTTGACACTCTACATAATGAACTCTTCCCAAAGCCATGCAGCCTTGCTCTTGGGAACTGAAGCGTCTGTGAATCCAATGTCAGAAAAACAGTATCCTTCTTCGGTTCAGTGGCTGATTTCTTCATGACAATAATGCTTTGGCTCCTGACGGGCTTTCTGGGAAGTAGTTTAAAAGTGTTAATTTGCTTTTACTGACTTACTTCTCCTTTCTCCTCCCACCCTTAGTTCTGGATGGTGCTCTCCAGACGCCCAAGGACTGTATTCAGTGCCCAGGAATAGCTGCTGCCTCTGGGCAACCTTGCAGGCACCATCTCCACTCAGGACATGGGCACCCGTAATGATGCCCCCGAAGGTAAGGGGCACCACGGGAGGCCTGCTGCTGGTGTTTTCCGGGATAGGGGATCTGCCTCAGACACTCCCAGGTGCCAGAAAAGGGGAGATGCGGGGACGAAGGGCTGCTGGGAGGTGCAGCCAGGTGGCCGTGCCTTTCCAGCCCTGGTCAGCTTCCATGTGCTGTGCCCAGCTGGCTGTCTGGGTGGCTCCCCGGCCTAGGGAGGGGCTTGGAATGTTCTAGGACCTTGGCCTGAGCTTTGCCTCCACTCTTTGCATCAGGGTGGCTGGTTCCTTGAGGGGCCAATTCTGTTCTGTGGTCAAGGGTATGTGGATGAGCAGTGGATGTGGGCTGGGGCTTTGGGGAGGGTGGATGGTGCCATTTCCCTAGCCAGCTGGGTTGGGGAGTGGGAGTAGTGCGTGGCCACTTAGCATCAGGAGACAGGCCTCGAGGCCTGGCTCTGCTTTTGGGAGCTGGCTGGTGAGCCCTGGTTTCCTCTGGAAAGTGAGGGGATTGGTCCAGTCCCAGATGAAATGGGGGCTGGCAAGGTGTGGAGCTGCTTCATCCTTTAGGGGCTGGAGCAGGGGCCAGATGGCCATTGGAAGGAAGAGAGAAGCATGATGGCCAGAGCAGTGGTTCAGGAGACAGCTCATGATGCACACGGCAGAACTCCCAAGGGCTTCGACATATGAGTCGGAAAACACCCGCCCACTTTAGTGCTAAACCAGGTCCCACCTGAATGTAGATTCCACTGGGGAAGTGGGAGGTGCTGAAATCTTAGAAAGCAGAATCTCCACATCTAGAAATAGGATAAAGATGTTGTATGAACCTTTAGTGCTGTCAACTCCTTTGCTTTACTGATGTGGGAACCGAGACTCAGAAGTTTGCTTATTTCCTCAAGGTCACACAGGTGGCAAAAAGTGGGAACCCAGGCTCCCGAGTCCCAGACTAGGAGTCTTTCAGCCTCGGGTGGATGAGCTGGGTTTCCACCTTCGTGGGGGCTTCTCCAGGTGGTGGGTTAGGGCCCCATGGATGATCCTGAGGTGTGCTCGGGCAGGGCTGAGCCAGGAGGGTGTGGGACCCACGTTTGTTAAGTTCTTGCTTAGCGGCAGGTACCGTACTACAGAGATGAATAAGACACAGTGCCTGCCCCTAGGAAGCCACAGGACAGGACCAGAGAGAGGCATGGGGAAGAGAGAGTAACATGGCGGTGTGCCTGGGGCTGTGGGAACATAGGAGAGGGAGAGCTTCTCTCTCTTAACAAAATTGACACATAATAGTTGTACATATTTTCTGGGTGCACATGTGATGTCTGGATATGGCATTCAATGCGTAGTGATCAAGTTAAGGTAATTGGGATTCCCATCACATCAACCACTGGCCATTTCTTTCTGATGGGAACATTCCAATTCTAGCTATTTTGAATTGTACATTACTGTGAGCTATAGTCACCCTACCACACTATCAAACAATAGATCGTTTTCCTTCTACCTCACTGGATTTTCGTACCCATTGACCAACCTCTCTTCATCCCACCCACTTCTCTTCCCAGCCTGTAGTAACCACCATTCTCTTCTCTGTCTCCGTGAGATCGACTTTTCCCATATATGAGTGAAAACAAATAGTAATTGTCTGTCTGTGCCTGGCTTACTTCACTTAAGATAAAGACCACCAGGCTAGGCGTGGTGGCTCACATCTGTAATCCTAGCACTTTGGGAGGCAGAGGAGGGCAGGTTGCCTGAGCTCAGGAGTTCGAGACCATCCTGGGCAATATGGTGAAACCCTGTTTCTACAAAAATACAAAAAATTAGCTGGGTGTGGTGGTGTGTGCCTATAATCCCAGCTATGGGGAGCTGAGACAGGAGACTCGTTTGAACCCAGGAGGTGGAGGTTGCAGTGAGCTGAGATCACTCCACTGCATTCCAGCCTGGGTAACAGAGTGAGATTCCATCACAAAAAAAAAAAAAAAAAAAGATAATGACCTCTAGTTCCATCTATATTGCTCCAAGTGACAGGATTTTATTCTTTTTTTATGGCCAAATAGTGTCCCATTATGTGTATGTGCCACATTTTCTTTCTCCATTCATCTGTTGATGGACACTTAGGTTGATTCCATATCTTGGCTATTGTGAATAATGCTGCAATAAACATGAGAGTGCAGATAGCTCTTCAACGTACTGATTTTCTTTCTGTTGGATATTTACCCAGCAGTGACCTCAAAAGCACAGGCAAAATAGACAAATGGGATGCCATCAAGCTTAAAAGCTTCTGTACAGCCAAGGAAACAGTCGATAGAGTGAAGAAAAAATTCACAAACTGCGAGAAAATATTCACAAACTACCCATCTGACAAAGGATTAATAACCAAAATATATAAGGAACTCAAACAACTTCAGCAACAAAAAACAGAGAATTTGCTTTAAAAACCGGCAAAAGATGGGAAGGCTTTTCCTTTTTTTTTTGAGACAGAGTCTTGTTCTGTCACCTAGACTGCAGTGCCATGGTGCGATCTCAGCTCACTGCAACCTCTGCCTCCCAGATTCAAGTGATTCTCCTGCCTCAGCTTCCCAAGTTGCTGGGACTACAGGGACATGCCATCATGCCCAGCTAATTTTTTGTATTTTTAGTAGAGATGGGGTTTCACCGTGTTAGCCAGGATGGCCTCGATCTCATGAGGGAGGGCTTCTTAAAGGAATGCACACCTTAGCTGAGCTTACCTTCCTCTTTCCTGACTCCTGCTTCCTGTATGGTCTCAGCTCAGTGGTCCCTCCCTCTGGAAAGCTTTTTCTGTCCCCATCTCTGACCAGGGCTCCCTGGCCCTACACTGTCATTGCTTGTTAATTATCGTCTTCCCTGCCAGACTTCAAATCTTGCTGAGGACTGAGTCAGCCTTGCCCACTACTATCTCCCTACACAGAGAGAGCATTCATAAATCCCTGTGTCGGGGACAGAGGGTGCCTTTTGTTGAGCTGAAGCAGGTTAGGAGAGAGAAGAGGGAAGAGCAGTGTAGGACATGCTGGTGAGGTGCCTGGGGACTTCCAAGAGGGAGTTGTCAAGGTAATCAGATGCTCTGCTCTGCAACAGGGGGGATTGGTCAGGGCAGGAACTATGGGGTAGGGGGTTATCTGCAGGGGGTGGCAATGAGGAAGTGGTCCTGGGGAGAGCAGCTAGTGGAAAGAGGCAGGGTTGGGCACTCCAGGGGTCAGTGATGTTCGGTGATGGAAACGGGGAACCCATGAAGGAGATGAAAAGACACAGATTGGGATTTGGAGCAAAGCCAGGGTACAAAGAGAGAGGAGGCAGCCAGGCTGAGTGGCTGGAGCAGGTGGGGTTGGAGGGATTTGGTGGAGATCACAGGCACTCTCCTGGCCCCGTAAAGCTCCGGTGTTGGGGGCAGGGCCCCCACATGCCTTGGTATTTTGGGCAGGGACGCTGTGGGGATGGAGTGCCCAGGGGTATGGCTCGGGTGTTCTTGGTTTGCTCTCAGTCTTGGCCTTGGAGGACTCTTGGGTGGTGCTCTCCTGTGCTTTTGTCTCCAGCCAAGTTCCTGCCCGCCGTGGCTGTGTACTGCGGGAGCATCCCTCGGACTGGGGCTGGGTCCCGGGTGCTCCCGCCTGGAAGCATCAACTCCAGTCTGCCTCATGGAGAAGGTGAGATGGGAAGACCCGGCCTGGTCAGGGCCCCTGGCCACATCCTGGAGCGGGAATGAGTGTGGCAGATGCCAGCTGGGTTCTCAAGCTACCAGCAAGTGTCATTTTTCCTGTGGCTCCTTCTGAAAATGCCTGCTGATTTTAGTCAGGTTCTTTCAACCCTGTGCTTCAGAGGTTGGAGGTGTGTAGACGGAGACCCGCAGGAATAGGGAGCAGGACCCTTGCATGCACCTGGATGCTGGGAGTGCACTCAGCACCCAGGGTGGTAATGTGGAGGGGGCCCGTCTCAAGATGCCCACTCAGCGTCTCTGCCACTTGTCTAGCATGTGTGGCCTGGGTCTCCAGAGGCGCTGGGATGTGGCTGAGCTTCTGAGAGCCCGCCTGTCTGAATGCCTTCTCTGCCCCTTTCTGCTCCAGTGCTCCCCCAGGGACCAGGTGAAGAGCACTTCTTCCTGAAGGTCTTCTAGAGTCTCTTCCCTCCTTTAAATGTGCAGAGCGTTTTGTTTCTCTCCGGTCTGGTGTGTCTGCTGCGGTGGGCGTGGTTTGCTCTGAGATGCCTGGGCTCCTCCTTGCAGGCTGTGCTTGGCATAGCTCCGTGTTTGGGGATCTGATGCCTTTGTTGGACCCTGGAGATTGGTGGGTGGTGGTCCCTGGGCGGATGACCTATGTATTCATGGCCTCTCATCTGTGCTGCGATAGGACTGCAGGCTGATTCCCCCTTTTGTCCTGAGCACCTCGTGGCATGGGGCTTGTGAAGGTTAGGTGCTTCAGAGACACTGTCAAATGAATGACCCTCCCCCACACGTGACTGAAATACTGACTGGGTCTCACTGGGCAAGCAATGGCAAGGAGTCTGCTGTGCCTGGTGCCACCCTGGGTATTGCTTGCAAGGCCATTCACACCTCTGTTCCCCTCAGGTTCCCTCCAGTCTGAGCCCAGCACCCTGCTGAACAATGAGGAACCGTCACAGCTCCTGAGTGGACACAGAGAGCTGGGTGGCCTCAAGCTGGATGCCCCTTCCAAGGGCTGGCAGGCCAGGAATGGTCACCCCAGGAACGTCGGGGCCTTGTCTTTGGGGGCCCAGCCCCTGGTGCTCCTCCCTTCTCTGGAGTCAGAGGCCAACAGCGTGGCCAGGGACACCACCCAGATTAAGGACAAGCTTAAGAAAAGGAGGCTCTCAGAGGGCTTGGCAGCGTCTTCCCGAGGTAAGCACTGGCCCCTCCCCACCCGCTCCCCACCCACTTCCAGGTCAGGGGGCTCAGGCCACCAGGGCTGTGAGGGTCAGCAGGCATCCAGGTGGCATGCTGGGATCCACTGGCGGTGGTCAGTGGGCACCTGCCAGGTACCCTCTCTATGGCCTCAGTGACCTCCTTGGAGCACGGCCTCCCTCCTGGGCCCTGCAGCGCTTCCTGACAGGCCTCTTCATCTTCCCTCGCTCCTTCTACTCTTGCTCCAGAAGGATCCTTTTAAACAAATATTCTCATTTCCACCAAAACCAGCCAGTGGATTTTGGATGTGCTTGGACTAAGACCCCAGATGTCCCCTCTGGCCCTGGCCTCACCACTGACTGTGTCACCGTCTGCCTTTGGTCTCTGCTGTCCAGAGCTTGGGGCTTATGGGCTCTTTCCTGCCTGAGGTTTAGAGCTGCTGCTCCTCCCCCATCCCTCCTCCATTTCCCACCCTGAAAATCCCCACCCAGCCTCCCTTCTTGGCTTCAAAGCCCTCCTCAGAGAGCCCTCCTTGACTCTCCAACGTGAATTTGCCCTTTGGATGCTCTCCAATAATGCCCTATCATTTTTTCCTTCAGTGCTTTTCATGGTTTACATTTATATCTTTACTTTTGTCACTATTTAAAACCTGAATCTTCTTTCAGCAGGGGCCAGAGATCCTGGCCTTCTAGAAGTGCTCTCCTTGAATCACCCCATTTCACAGAAGCGTCCATGGGGGTCAGAGAGACGGTGGCTGGCCTGAGGTCACATGGCTCCTCCCCACGGCCAGGACCTGCTGTGCTCCCTACTGTTCCAGCACTGCCTTTATTTCCCTTCCTTCCCATGCTGCCTCTGCATTCTAAACACATAGCTTAGATGGGTACTTTCTGGAATGGTACAGACACTCAGAAGCAGCTGCTTGCTCAGTCTACCAGGGGGTGTGGGGCTGGGGGCAGATCCGCCCTCTCTCCTTGCCATCCCAGGCCTTCCCAGGGCAGAAGGCCCTGTTGCTGGGGTCTGAATTCCCCCTCCGCCCCCTGTTCTTCTGGGACTAACTGATTTCCCATCTGCATCTCTGTACAGCCTCTCTGGATCCAGGGGAAGGCCCCCAAGGAGTTCCTCTGCGGAGCACCATACCCCGAGCCACCTCGCAGAGGCTGCTGAGGTTACCTAGGCCGATGCCTCCCATCCAGAGCATCCCCACCACCCCCGAGGCCAGCAGAGCCAAAGAGAAGGGCCTGGACCCTCTGGGGAGCATTCATGGTCCTTACCAGTTGCGACCCGGTGCTCAGGAGGTGAGGTGGTTTCACTGCTGTGAGTCTATCCTCAGCTTCTTGCCCTCCCTTGTGCTGCTTTTCTTTCTAGCCTCCACCAACCCCTGACTCCATGTCCTGAGCATCCCTAGAGGTATCTCGAGGTCTGCACTGAGGATAGAGGCAGCACTGGGAGAGGCTCAAGGCTCCCATTTCCCCTTCTTCCACAGCATTGCAAACGGCCATAGCTGGCCTAGGGGGTCTGGGGGACGGTGGCTGAGGCTGCATGACCTTTATCCTAGAATTGGCGGTCCCCTAGGCCTTCTGTGGTCTGAATGTTCCAGGATTCCCCCTGCTTTCTGGCCCTCTCCATTTTAAGCAAGAGTATGACAACGAATGCTGGGCTAGGGATTCGGGCCTTGGTGTCTGCTCTGGTCCTCGCTGGCTGTGTGACCTTGGGCAAGCCACATGCCTCTTTGGGCCCCAGTTTGCACATCTATGAAAATAGAGGTTTGAAGGCCCTTCCAGCTCTGATGTTCTAGGATTTTTCTGAAATGAGAACAGAAAAACAAATAATAATAGTCCCAAAAGGGCTTGCCAGTCTCCTCACCAGAAGTGGTAAGGAAGCAGTCAGCCTTCTGGGGGTCCCCGGGATAAATGGCTGAAAAGAGAGAGCAGGCCTCACACTGTGTGAGGTGCCTGGGAGGTGAGCATTCAGCATGGGAAGTTTCCATAGCCCAGACCCCTGTGTCGCCTCTGTTCCCAGGTGCAGATCTCCGGGCAATACCTGCACTGCAGTGATGAGAAGATGCAGAAGTCCCTGGGGGGCGTCGTGATCCTACCCATCCCGAAGGCCAGGACAACCCCCTCCCATGTGCCTGGCTCCCTTCCCAGCCCATTGCCTCCAGGCCAGAGTGACCTCGCAGGCTGGAGGGCCCCACGCACGCGGTAGGAGCGCTAAGTCAAGACTTCCTTGCTGACTTCTCTCCCTCTGTCCCCCTAAGATCCACTGGGGCTCCTCATGGCCAACCCTCCGTGCTGGGGCAGGGTTCTTGGGGCACCAGGCAGGGAAAGGGCCTAGTGTTCCACCCATGAGCCACAGACCTAGGGAGGCCACAGCATGGTTGCCAGGGCGTCTCTGCCTCTCAGCTCCAGCACACTGGGTCAGTGGCATGACCCACAAGATCTCCAGCCTCTGTCTTCTCCCAGTGCCTTAGTGGATGCAGTTGCTGGAGTAATGAATAGAACATTAATTGTAATAGAACACTCTGTCGCCAGGGCTGGAGTGCAGTGGCACAGTCTCGGCTCACTGCAACCAGGTTCAAGCAATTCCGCCTCCCAGGTTCAAGCAATTCTTGGCCTCCCAAGTAGCTGGGATTACAGGCATGTACCACCATGCCCAGCTAATTTTTGTATTCTTAGTAGAAACAGGGTTTCACCATGTTGGGCAGGCTGGTCTCAAACTCCTGATCTCAGGTGATCCACCCACCTCAGCCTCCCAAAGTGCTGGGATTACAGGCATGAGCCACCACACCTAGCCTATTTTTTTTTTTTTTTTTTTAGACAGAGTCTCACTCAGTTACCCAGGCTGGAGTGCAATGGCGCGATCTCGGCTCACTGCGACCTCTGCAAGTGATTCTCCTGCCTCAGCCTCCTGAGTAGCTGGGACTACAGGTGTACACCACCAGGCCCTGCTAATTTTTGTATTTTTAGTAGAAATGGGGTTTCTCCATGTTGGCCAGGCTGGTCTCGAACTTCTGACCTCAGGTGATCTGTCCACCTCAGTCTCCCAAAGTGCGGGGATTACAGGTGTGAGCCACTGCGCCCAACCCAGTCTATTTTTATTTAAACCTCATTCTGTTCTTTAACTTGGAGCACCACAGGGCAGGGGCCGTATGTCAAAAACCTCTGTGGCTTCCATGGGGCCAGGCTTGGTACCTGGCATGGATTAGTTCCATAATAAATATCTGTCCTTTCCTGTCTGGTTGTGACATGGATTTCTCTTTGTTGACTCCGTGGGGTTCTCTAGCCAATGGAGGGGCAGAGGATCTATTACCATTTTAGTCATCCATCCGTCCATGTACTCACCTACATAGTAGCTGTTAAGCACCTACTATGTGCCAGGCGCTATGAAGACAAAGACAAATAGGCCACCATCTGTGTGGTTCAGGAGCTCACGAGAGATACGTCCCGGGAAATCATCAAGGTGAAGTCCAAAGAGGTGGGTGCATAGGCTAAGGCTGTCTGTCATGTTGGTGACCCAGGAAAAAGAGATCTGAATCACCAGGTGACTTCTCAGAAAAGGGTGAGGGCACACCTGCAAGATGGAGATGGAGGTGTAAGAAGGAGAGACAGGAGGAGGAGCGAGCCCCTGCATTCATGTGGGGCAGCCCGCGGGGTGGGGGTGAAGGGCCCGTGTGCCAACTGAGAAGAGGGAACTTCATCCTGCTGTGAAGAGGTGGCACCGAAGGCTTTCGGGTGTGAAAGTGGCATCTGCTCTGACTTAGAAAGGCCATGTTGGCAACCTCAGAATGGCATGGACCATGTAGATGGAGGTGGGGCTGCTGCAGAAATCAGGGGAGAAGGCCAAGGGTGCCTGACGGGGGGAGAGGCAAGGAGTGTGTGGGGTGAGGATGCAGGGGTGGGGTGGGGCAGGGCGGGGCGGGAGGACTGGCAGGGCTAAGGCACAGGCTGGATGTGGGCAGAAAATGGAGGAGCTGAGGCCATGCTGGGGTTCCTGGCTTCAGCCGCTGAACAGATACCGGTACCCTTCCTGGAGACAGGGGATGGGGAGAAGAGGCAGGTGCTGGGGACAGTGCTGAGGCATTGGACATGCCTAGACGTTTGGCCTGGAGCAGGAAGGGGCTCTTGCTGGAAACAGGGGTTTGCTGCCCCTGCCCTGCCCACCTCCTTGAGGCCTGGGGAGGAGCCTGAGTGGTGGTGGGTTTTCTGTGGGGTTTGCAGAGGGCAGGGCTGGGCTGCCACATCCAGGAAGGCAGGAGCTCTGATGGGCGTGGTCTGTCTTGGCCTCAGCCCTTTCTGGTGAGGGGTCTCTAGAGAACGGGAGGGCAAGAGGCTTCCTCCAGTTTCACAGCTCGAGAGAAGTGAGCCAAGTCCTCTTGAGGCCAAATCCCTTGCTCAGAGCTGGGGTCAGGGGGTGGGTTGGGGGGGTGGAGGTGGCAGGCTGCAGCTCAGAGCCCCAGGGGCAAAGCCTAGGCATGAGCAGGATGAGGCCAGGCCTGGGAAAGGGGTCGACATCAGGGTTTTTGGCCTCAGTTAGCCTGGGACCTCCATGAGCTCGTAGAAGCCAAGGACAACCGTGGGGACTTTGACCCTCTGCTTCTCTTCCCCTCCCGCCGCCAATCCTGTTAGTGCTGTTGGGCAGTGGTTGGGCAGTGGTGGGTTACACTGGCAAAGGCCTAGTGGGTGGGCTCCTCAGGTCAGGGGGCCCTGGGGCATTCACTTACTATCTCCAGCCCATACAAGCCCTTCCTGTGGGTCCAGACCCAAGAGGCTGGGCCTGGCCCCAGACACAATGCTGAGTCCTGGCTGATCTAGGCCCTTATTAAAGCTCTGCTCCTCCCGGGGACCCAGGGTCCCCTGATTGCCACACTCCCTAGGATCAGGATTCCCTTGGATCAAGGCAGGCACTGGGGTGGGCTGTCCTCCCACCCCTCCTCTGGCCCAGCCTCGACTGTGATTCTCTGAGGCCAGAGCATGGGATGTTGCGTTCCTGTCCTGTTGCTGTAGCTTGTCACTCCGTCAGCCCCCAGTGGTCCTCATGTCAGCTGAGAAGAGAAAGACGTGGGATGCTGCATGGCTGGTCTCCATGGGAACCTGAGCTCCTAGAGGGCTGGGAGTGTCATGTCTTATTGACGCTCTATTTCCAGTTTCTAGAATGGTGCTTGACACATAGTAGGTCTTCAGAAAATATCTGTTGAATAAGTAAATGGTGCTTCTAACTTAAGAAATTACAATTAAAACCAGTGCCAGGGATGCCACTGTCTTTCCTTCCTGTGGGTGATTGGGATTGAGCTTCTGGTACAAAGCAGTGGTGACTTCCTGCCACAGCAAAGGGGGTCAAACCCCCAGGACTTGGGGGATGGGAGATGGGGGGACAGGAATTATAGTCATGAGGAGGGGGACTGTTTCCGGGTCACTAAGCTCTCACGGGCTTGGGGCAGCTGGGAGAACTTGTGCTTGGTGCTGTCTGAGCTGGGAGGCCGTTCACCCTTGTCTGCTGCAGCTGCTCTCAGGTCCCACAGGCCCAAGCAGCGCAGTGGGAGGGTGGGGGCTTCCTTTAAGACAGCAGCTTCCATGGGGGCGTCGGCCGCCTGGGGAATGAATGAGCTTGCTGGAAACAAGCTCATTGCCAGGAAATAGGGCTGAGCCTGGCCTGGCGGTCAGCCTGCCCTTGTGTTTGTGGAGGGAGCTGTATCTCCTGCAGCTTGAATCCTGGGCCAAACGCCTCTGAAGGGACAACAGCGCCTTCCCCCCCGGCCCCCGTTTCGGCCGCTGCCCCATCCTGGAGCCACCCTGGGCTCCCCCAGCAGTGTCTCTGGCTGGCCGTTCCTCATGATGTTTTTCTCTCCCCCATTCTTTTAAGATTGGCTGGGGAGAGTGGGCCTCGGGAGAAGACCCCTGCATCTCTGGGTACGTATTTTCCCTGCACGCCTCCCTTTCTTATTTGACTCTCTGCATTCTTGGACTGGGTCCTGGAAACAGAATGGGGCCAGAGGAGATCTGAGAGCTCTCGTGTGCGGGCCCCTCATTTCACAGCAGGAAGCTGAAGTCACCGGAGACTAACCGGAGGGTGGCAGCAGGCCCGCGCCAGGCGTGGAAGAGAAGCGACATTTATTGGCACCTGCTCTGGCACGTCAGGTGTGTTGATGTGCTCTGGCTCGTGCAGCTTGACGCGGTCTCGATGAGAGAGACAGTGCTGGCCCTGCAAGACAGATGGGCTGGCACACGGAGACTCCGTGGGCAGGATGTTCTCCCTGGTTGCCAAGCCCCATCAGGCTGGCAGTCAGGCTCCCATAGCTCCACAGCTGGGGTCCTGACACATTGAGCAGCTGCCCCTTGCGATGTGTTAAGCAAGTAGGGAGAGTATTCCTCACTGAGAGAATGAGAGGGTAAACCAGAGCCCGCAGACCTCAGCCAGCCAGCCCTGGAGCTCTAGCTGTCAGGGAATAGGCTAACACAGGACTGAGGCGAGGAGAGGGGACAGGGCAGAGTAGGAGGCCTTTGAAGAGGGAGGAGGGATCCTTCCTTGATTGAACTCTATGGGGAGGCAGGACAAGTGGATGGAGGCTGAGCCTCTGCTGCAGGGTTGGGGAGCAGAACACCCTGAACCCAGGCCACGGTGGGGAGGAGTTTGGAGGCAGCCACTCTGCTGCCCGGCAGGAGAGGTGACCTCCCCAGGGCCAGCTTCCTGGCAGGCCACTCTGCTAATCAGCTCAGCTGGTGGGGCGGTTGGCGAAGTGGGGAGGCTGTTGCCCAAGAGGTGCTGGGATCAAGACACAAAGCCGGACCTGGCACAGAAACCTCCGTGGCAGCTGCTTCTCCCCTGCCCCCGGGCCGGGCTGCAGCAGGGTGAGCTCAGGCAGTCTGTGGCAAAATGCAGTGGCACCCTGAGTGACCTTAAGAGCTAACCCAGAGAATGCTGGTGTGGGGGTTGGGCCAGGAGATCCCAGTCAGTAACCACTTCCTCCCTGGCTCTCCAGCTTGCTGCTTGAAAACCAGGTCACTAGGGGCCTGTGGCAGGGGCAGGCTGCTCAGACAAGGCTTTCCAGGGCGTCACTTTGGGGTGCAGGTGAAGAAGTGACATACAAAATAGCTAAGTCCTTAAAGGGCTCTCTGCTCTCTGGCTGGCAGCTGGGGCTGACACTGCCCTCTAGCAGGGACATGCTTAGCACATGGTAGAGGCTCACAGGGTCTTGTCTGAAGCTGGGAAGTTCCCCCCACATCTGTGGCCTTCCTGCAGTCCTTGCCTTGGCCAGGTGGCACCTACCACCCGTGCCCTCTGCCCTGCCTCTTACCTCTGGGCAGATGAGGCTTCAAAGCCCTTCTTCCCACTTGGCCCTTGATCCTTTTCCCTGCACCATGCAGAGGAATCCTTTGCAGAAGACATGGGCTAGCCAGAGGACCGGGGTGACCTGGCAGCTGCTGCAGGGGCCCCAGACGTAAGATGCCTTTTCCAGCCGCAGGCAGCCTCAGGTGATGTCCCCATCTCAGCAGACCCCTGACTTCTGGGTTCACCCAAAGATGGTGAGCTCCAAACCCTGTGAGTGGTAGAAAATGAATGAACGGACCTATTTGGACCCTGCCTTCATAATGAGAAATGTACCTTTAAAATCCACTGGTGGGGAAAATATGAATGACAAAGCAATCCTGTGGATTTGATGGCACCGAGTAGAAGTGAATGGGTATTTTATCCATCCCAAGAGCATTCAAAGGTTCCTGGCTGTATTAGGTTCTCCAGGGGGACAGAACTAGTAGGCTGTATGTCTCTATATAGGGAGTTTATTAGGGAGAATTGGCTCACACGATTACAAGGTGAAGTCCCGCGATAGGCCATCTGCAGGCTGGGGAAGAGAGAGGTTGGTAGTGGCTCAGTCCAAGTTCGAAAGCTTCAAACCAGGGAAGCCAACAGTACAGCCTTCAGTCTGTGACCAAAGGTTCAAGAGCCCCTGGCAAGACACTGGTGCAAGTCCCAGAGTCCAAAGGCCCAAGAACCTGGAGGCTGATGTTCCAGGGCAGGGGAAGTAGAAAGAAGCATCCAGCAGGGGAGAAGGCAGGCAGCCAGCAGCCCGGCAGCAAGGCGATCCCACCTTCTTCCACCTGCTTTGTTCTAGCTGCGATGGTAGCCAGCAGCCGACTGGATGGTACCCACCCACACTGAGGGTGGTTCCTCCTCTGCCAGTGCACTGACTCAAATGTCAGTCTCCTCTGGCAACACCTTCACAGACGCACCCAGAAACAATGCTTTACCAGCTCTGTAGGCATCCAGTCCAGATGACATCTGCTATTAACCATCACACCTGCTCTCAGCTTTCCTGACTGTGAAATGGGACTGGACTAGTGTTACTTCTCTGGCCCTGGCAACTCTGCCCTTTCATGCTGCGCCATGATTTCAGGCAAGCCCATGGTCATATGAAAGGGTCAGTGGGCCCATTTTGTTTTTTCTTTTCCTGCAGTACATACCTCCCAGGAGAGTTACACTTACATTCTCAGGAAATGTCTTACATCTCCTGGATAACACAGCTGGCCCTGTTTCCTGCCCAGCCTCCCCACCTCTGCACCTATCTTGGAATAAAGTGTGCAGTGAATGAATGAATGAATGAATGAAGAGGGATGCTGGTCCTCAGGCAGCCCGCTCTGTGCCTGCAAGTGCTGCCCTGCACAGTAAAACTAACCTGAGTCTTGGTCCATGGAGGAAGAATGGAGGGTGTGGGGCTTAGCAGTAGAGTTGAGCCAGCCAGAGGGTCAGCAAACTCAGGAGGGGCCTGGGTGTCTTTAGCTCCACCCCTTTTCTCAACCCCTCAGAGCCAAAACCTTTGGCCTCACCCAGCAGAAACAGGCCTGCCGCTGCTGAGAAGCTGGCCCTGCCTTTTTCTCAGTCTGCTCCCACGCTGACAGCCTTCTCCTTCGGCCATGCCAAAGAAGCCCAGCCTCCACTGAAAGAAGAAGACCAGAAGGAGATCAGCAGCAAGGTACGCGGGGAGCAGGAGGTGGAGGGAGAGGGGCTGGAGGGGACCACAGGCTGCCAGAAGTATTCAAGAGTGGGACCAGCCGCAGAGCACAGCAAGGAGAGCCCGAGGCAGCCACCCAAGGACTAAGGGCCAGAACCTGCAGCCGGGGGTTAGGGTGAGGGCTGGAGAAAGGAAGAGAAAGGATGGGGGTCAGAAGAGGGGTGGGGAACTAGGTGCAGGGACGACTACAAAGGATCACTGAGGGGTAGGAGGCAGGCAGGAAGGAAGGATGGGAAGGTTGCACAGGGCTCAGGCGGAAGCCGGATGTGGGGGAGAGAGCAGAAGGCCTCAGGTGAACCGGGCTGCGTGGTTTGAACTGACACCCAAGATAGCAACTGAGAGGCAGCTGACTTAGGGCTGGTCAGCCAAGGGCTGCGCTCCGCGGGCTGGTGAATACCCCAGACTTCTAGGTGACCTTGGGAGGCGTGTCTCTTCCCTGGTCGGAATGAATTTAGTGAAGCTTGGAGTCACTGTAGTGAGGAACCTGTGCTCATTCTTTGAAACAGAACCTTCCAGGTCCATAAGCATATCCTGAGGGCCTCCTGGGGGCATAGTGTCTGTTAGAGACTGGGATTCCATGGTGACTGTGTGAAGTCGTCACCACAGCCCTCCCACGCTAGAGAGGGCCACAGAACATGAAACAAAACAATGATTCCGTTTAGCAAAACAAGCTTGTCCTCCTCCCCACTTCTGTGTGCCACCTCCCGCCCGTGGCCGCATCACAGGCCTCGGCATTCTAAAGTGTGGCCCCCACCATGGTCTCCATTCCAAGCATCCCCTCGGTCACCAGCAGCTCCTGCTGTTCCACCCACTCCTTCCAATCCTTCAGCTCCAACCCTTGTTCCCTCTCTGGCATCAACAATATTCTCCTTGAAGCGGGAGCATTGCTATCAGCATGCTAGCTCTCTGTGACCTCTTTCATTTAAAGAAAGCAAAACAAAACCAAAACAAAATGATTGCTGCGTCTCCTCTCTCCTGAGTCCACTCCCGACAGGCATCAGTGAACACCCCCCCACTGAAACTGCCCACATTGGGGTCACCAGTGACCTTCCCAAATGCAGCCACAGTTAGTCCTCTTCTACCTTGACCCCGTAACAGCTTTGGACATGACTTATGTCTCATCCCTGAATTCTCCAGCCAGGGATGGAGGTGAGGGGTGGCTCTTTCTTGGTCCTGCCCATGTGAAAGGCAGCTCCTTCCCAGCCCTTCTTTGCTGCCTCCTCCTCATCTCCCCAACTCTGGATGCTGGCACTCCCCCAGCGCTCAGCCCTCTGGCCTGCCGGCTATTTATACTGACCCGCCAGGTCCTCGTTCAGTCCAGGCACTCAGTACTGTCATCTCTGTGCTGAGGACTCCACATCTCCCTTGCAGCCTAGACCTTCCCCTGACCTCCAGACCCACATATTTAGCTGCTACTCAATATGTCTGCTTAAATGCCTAATTATACTTCCAGCTGACTGTGTCTAAAACTGAACCCTTAAATACTCTCCTCACAAAACCTCCTCTCTCCCCAAAGACCCACTCAACTCCAGCCTTCCAGTGGCTCAGGCCAACCGTCTGGGGCGTCCTTGGCTCCTCTCTTCCTCTCTTGCCCTTCACCTCACATATCAGCAAAGAGAGTGAGCTGCACCTTAGAAGCATGTCCAGAATCTGCCCATCCCACCACCCCCATGGCCGCCTGGGCCCTGCCACCTCTTGCGTGGATGCTCAGCTGCCTCCTCACCACTCTTCCTGCTCCCAGTGTGAGCCAGCTCCAGACCCTTCCCCTGCGGCAGCCTGCATGAGCCTTAGAGAAACAGACATTAGAACATTCTGTGGATGTGGAAGATATTATCACTGGGGAAGGGTGAAGGGAACACAGGAAGTCTTGGTTCTATTTTGACAACTTACGAGTTTTTCTTGCGTCTTAAACTATTTCAAAATAAAAGTTTATAAAAAACAACACGTAGAGACAGCCGCTGCCAGCGGAAGTCAGATCATGTCATTCCTCTGCTCACTGCTCTGCTCAAAACCTTAAACGGCTTCCTGTGTCCTTCAGAGGAGAAGCCCAGTCCCTTTCATGGCCCGCATGCTATGGATCCTGCCCCCTGCCCCATCTTGTGTCCTGTCACTTCTCTGACTCAGAGAGCTCCGCCAGTGTCCCCTACACTGTCCCCAACCAGCCAAGCACACCCTGGCCTCAGAGCTTCTGCATTCACTCCCTCTGCTTCCAACACTTCTCTCTTAGAAATCTGTGGGGCAGACCCCCTCCCTTCACTTCTGTCTCCGCTTAAGCTTCACCTCCTCGGCGAGTCCCTCAGGGGCTTCGAGGCTAAAAGCCACTGTCATCTCTGTCTCCTTACTTTTCCTTCAGCACGGACTGCCTGATATCAGCAATCGGGCTATTTATTGTGTCTCCCCCATACCACAAAGCTCTTGGGGTACAGGGGGTCATCTGTTTTGTTCACTTCCAGGACAGCAATTGGCACACAGGAGACACATGTTCGATGATTGCATGTTGATGATTGAATGAATGGAGGTTAATACAGTTTGCCTTGACCTTGTGCCAGATCCAAGTCACCATCTCCAAGTCTGCCCGGGAGAAGATGTGGCTGAAGCAGATGAGGGAGATGGAGCTGCTCCGGAGGCCGGAGGAGCCCAGGACCGAGCGGGAGCTCACTTCCCAGGGCGTGGGCTCCCGCAGAGCCTTCATGAAGGAAGGTACTGGGTGCCCGGTGCGGGTTTTGCTCAGGCTTGGGGAGCTGAGGCCACTCTCTCATAGCCTGCTGAGGGTCCCATTTTCTTTTTTAAATTTTTTTTTTTTTTTTTTTTGAGACAAGAGTCTTGCTCTGTCACCAGGTGCCAGGCTGGAGTGCAGTGGCGCGATCTCGGCTCATTGCAACCTCCACCTCCCGGGTTCAAGCAATTCTCCTCCCTCAGCCTCTCAAGTAGCTGGGACTACAGGCATATGCCACCACGTCCAGCTAATTTTTGTATTTTTAGTAGAAACGGAGTTTCACTGTGTTGGCCAGGATGGTCTCAATCTCTTGACCTCGTGATCTGCCCGCCTTGGCCTTCCAAAGTGCTGGGATTACAGGCGGGAGCAGCCTTGCCCAGCCTTCTTTTGTACATTTTTTGTTCATTACTTATGTATTTATTTAGAGATGGGGCCTCGCTCTGTGGCCCAGGCTAAAGGGCAGTGACGTGCTCACCTCAGCCTCAAACTCTTGGGCTCAAGGGATCCTCCCGCCTCAGCCTCCCAAGTAGTGGGAACTATAGACGTGTGCTACTGTGCCTGGCTAATTTCTTTTACATTTTCTGTAGGGATGGGGGTCTCCCTATGTTGCCCCGGCTAATCTTGAACTCCTGGCCTCAAGCCATCCTCCTACCTTGGCTTCCCAACATGTTGGGGGTACTGGTATGAGCCAGCATGCCCAGGCACAGCCCATTTTCAAAGGAGGACGTTGAGGCTGGAGGAAACAGGCCTGCTCAGTTCTCGGACTTCCTCTGTGTCCACAGGCCTCCTTCCCCTTCGGGGCAGCAGGACCATGTCTGTGCCCACTAGGCTGAGCAGACCACGCAGAAACGACGTCGGCATCATCCTGAGGAAGCGGGCCAGCCAGGCCTCCCTGCCCAGTATCCCTGTCAGCAAGCAGGAGCCCTGCTTTGCCCGCCATGCCTCAGGTGGGCAGGCCTGACCGGCAGGCGCATGCGTCCCTCTGCCCATGCTGCCTCGGGATGCCCTGAGGCATGGCAACGGTGACCTCAGTGGCTTTACTTCTGCCCCTTGTCCATGTTAGACCAGGAGGCAGCCTGGGGTGGTGGTCGCCTTACCAGAGGGAGAAACTGTCGGGGACTCATAATTGTCTACGGGCTGGGCTGGGGGACCCAGGATCTCATACCTGGAGCTGTGACGTGCCCAGCCTGTGTGACATGTCCTGGAGGAATGACCAGTGCACCAGGGCCAAAGACGCGAGGCAACAGCATGTAGGGAAGTAGCTGAGAACACCAGGAAGAGGACGGGAGGGTTAGGGAGGAACTCAGTTTCTTTCCTGTTGCTTTGTAAAATGTCAGGGCTGGGCAGCGCTGGCTGCAGATATGAATCAGAGGGTCCAGCGCTTCTCCCAGGGCACCTCGGGAATCATGCCCAGGACAAGGGGACACTCTGTCCCCATTCTACCAGAGGAGCTTCCATTTTGCCTCCCTCTTTTATATACTGGGCATTCGTGTGACATTTCATTTGGAAAGATTTTGCTACTGAAAAAACCTTAAAAACAGCTTGGTTAGGAGTTTCTTTAAGTGTGGGATGTGATGGTAAATGATCGTAGACTATTCTGTGCTCTAAATAACACCAGCTCACCTCCCTTTTCAATTCTCTTTCTATCCTCAAGTAGAAAGTCTGAATTTGGCGCTAGTCTTTAGCACCTCTCTTTTTATTTTTAATTTTTTATAAAGAGAAGAGGTTTAATTGGTTCATGGTTCCACAGACTGTACAGAAACCATAGTGACTTCTGCTTCTGGGAGGCCTCAGGAGACTGACAATCACGGTAGCACCTCTCCTTTTAAACAAGAAGATCCTCTTTCAGGCTCAAAGACATCAGAGGCTGGCTGTAATTTTTTAGCTAGGGTTTTTAACATTGTTTTACTTTCATTGTAAATATTTATCTTATTCTATGACAAACAATGCTAGTTTACGGTAGTGAAAGTTCCCTTTAAAATTAAATTCTTTAGGATTTGAAAGTGGTATGATATGAAGAAAAATACAATGTAAATAAAAGGACAGGCTATTGAGAGGACGGCAGAAATCACGAAAGCGGTAATGGAATGATGTGATTGATACTGAGAACTACTGATCTGTCTAACCCAGCCCACTTTTAAAAAAATTTTATTTTTTTTAAGACAGAGTCTCACTCTGTCCCCCAGGCTGGAGTGCAATGGTATGATCTCTGCTCACTGCAACCTCTGCCTCCTGGGTAGCTGGGACTACAGGTGCATGCCACCATGGCCTGACGAATTTTTGCATTTTTAGTAGAGACAGGGTTTCACCAGGTTGGCCAGGCTGGTCTCAAACTCCTGACCTAGCCGGGCGCGGTGGCTCAAGCCTGTAATCCCAGCACTTTGGGAGGCCGAGGAGGGTGGATCACGAGGTCGAGATTGAGACCATCCTGGTCAACATGGTGAAACCCCGTCTCTACCAAAAATACAAAAAATTAGCTGGGCATGGTGGTGCGTGCCTGTAATCCCAGCTACTCAGGAGGCTGAGGCAGGAGAATTGCCTGAACCCAGGAGGCGGAGGTTGCGGTGAGCCGAGATCGTGCCATTGTACTCCAGCCTGGGTTACAAGAGCGAAACTCCGTCTCAAAAAAAAAAAAAAAAACTCCTGACCTCAAGTGGTTTGCCTACCTTGGCCTCCCAAAGTGCTGGGATTAGACCCAGTGATGTAAAGGCCACCCAAGGTCACTCAAGGTCGTGGTGCCCCACAGTGCCACCATCTAAAGATCACTAGACTGACACTTTGGTTAGTGACGCTTGACCCAGTCTGTTGTCCCTTTTTATTTGAACTGTTTTATGTTTGGTGGGTGAGTGGATGGGTAGAAACAAGATCTTCAAGTAGGTTAGGTTGTTGGAGTTGTTAGAAAAAAAAAGCCAACATTCTCCTCTTACTACCTCCCTGGAAGCTGCATTTGAATCCTCCTCATCTTCCTCTCTCCTCACAGTGAACAAAGAATCCCTTAACTTGCTTTATAGTTTGGGTTTTTAGTCTGGCTGGAAATGATAGTATTTCAGGATTGTAAACCTGCTGGTCCTCTTGATTCTTCTAATAAGTCCTGTGAAGGGCTGGCCTTTCTTGGGAGACTGGATTGGTTTAGGTGAGCTCAGTTCCGGATCTGTTCAATTTCTTTTGTTTTCTGTGTGAAAAATAGAAATGACTGAACCAGAAGGTGCAAATATGAACAGGACTGGAAAGCTGTCAGACATAGGGCAAACGGGGAGGCAACGCAAGCCTCAAGACACTGGAGGCTGGAATCCCCCTGCCAGTGCCTTTCGTGGGTTTGTTTTTACATCCAGTGGATGCTAATGCCCCTGCAGGGTGCAGTAAAGGCAGGGAAGGGGGCAGGGGGGCAGGAGGATGGATTGCTTCCTCCAGAAAACCCAGCGTCTTTTAGAGAGCATCGCAGACGGCATGTCATTCTCGTCCGTGCTGCCCAGGGAAGGATGGGGAGGTTGGATGTTACCTCCTGACTCTCAGAGAGTGAGTGAAAGAACTGATGAAGAGACCATTCCTCATTTCAAGGGTAGTGTTGAGAAGGAAGTCCAGGAGTGAGGGCTTTGTGACTCTGCTTTTTTTTTTGAGACAGAGTCTCACTCTGTCGCCCAGGCTGAAGTGCAGTGGCATGATTTTGGCTCACTGCAACCTCCGCTTCCTGACTCCAAGTGATTCTCCTGCCTCAGCCTCCCATGTAGCTGGGATTACAGGCATGCACCACCATGCCCAGCTAATTTTTGTATTTTTAGTAGAGACGGCATTTTACCGTGTTGGGCAGACTGGTCCTGAACTCCTGACCTCGGGTGATCCACCCGCCTCAACCTCCCAAAGTGCTGGGATTACAGGCATGAGCCACCGCACTTGGCTGTGTCTCCGCTCTCCGTAAAGGGCTTCCTCTCCACTTAGACTTGCCCAGGACCTCAGGATGTACTGTGGTGAAAATCATTTGGGTGGAGGTGAAGCTCGGGAGGAAACTCACAGGAAGAGAGCTGTGGTAGTGAGCCATCTGGACTGGGACAGGGACCATGTTGTCCTGGCCGTGCTGACGGAGGAGCTGAGGGGCTGTGGAGGGTCCCCCACCCTCTCTGAGCCTCTGAGACCTCAACTGTGTGATCAAGGCATTTGGTTAGAGAGAGGCCCTGTAAGATGCCTTCCTGTCCTAGAAGGTTATGATTCTAGCATCTGTCCCCAGGGAAGGAGAGCCTAGAGAACACGACAGCCTGCCTGTTGTGGGTCCCTGCGTGCACGGCTGCGTCTGGGCCGTGTCAGTGCCAGTTAGCTACATTGCCTTCCTCCAGCCATCTGCTTTTGGACCACTTCCCTGCTCGTGGGCAACCCCACAAAAGGCTGGATAGCAGCAGGGAAGGAGGAGGCACTGCTCACATGGGCCTCTGCTTGGGAATGAGGTCAGACCGCCACTGAAATGAGTAGGGAGGTCATTCACTGATGGCTCAGGGGGCCCCACCTCACCAGAGAGGAAGCAGGTTTGGAGGTATCCCCCCGACTGGGGGGCTTTGTCCCATGACATCACTTGGCTTATCACAATCTGTTTATAAGAATCTCATTGGCAAGGGCAGGGAGGGAAAAAGTCAACCAAAGGTAGAGCTGGGAGGTCCTTATGGCTCCCGGGCAGGGAAGCCCAGGCTCTAGCTTCTCAGCCTCACCAGCCAGCTCCCCCTGTACATCCTCCCTGTTAGGTGGGCTCAGGGTGGAGGCACGGCCTCCTATGTGAGCAGTGGCAGAAGCGGCCACTCAGGGCTCTTACCTGTCCTGCTGCATGAAGCCTGCTGTTTCTTTCTTGTGAATGCAGCTAACTCATTACCTGCGGTGCTCACATGGGGGTCTCCTGAATGGGAAGAGGAGGAGGAGGTGGATCTTAGAGGATTTAAGGAGCTGAGGCCTTTCTCAAACCCGGAGCTGGGGCTGATGGACGCACTCCAGTGTCTTAACAGCAGTGACTGGTGAGGAGACGCCTGCCCCACGTGCTGTGGTCTGGCCAGACGCGGGGCTGTTGCACTAGCTTCTGCCCCTCAACTTTCCTCCTCTCCCACTCTGGGGTTCCAGCACCATGGAGGGAGGACTGCGTGTGTGTGCACATGCGTGTGTGCTTGAGTGTGTGGTGCTCCTGGCTTTATGTGTGTGCCCTGAGACCCTCCATGCACGTATGCATGGCTCCGTGACGTGCCAAAGCCAGGCATGGCAAGGATGCATTTGATTCCACACCATGAGCCCAAGAAAGGCCACAGCCCTTTATTTTTCTGATTGAAATTGAATCTGCTCCGAGTGCTCCTCCCACTGTGGGGATGCAGGACCATGGTCATGAGCAAAGCGATGCCTCGGGCTCCAGAACATTTGTGAGACGCCCTCCTTGCCTTCAGTCCTCGCTGTTCAAGTGCCGTCTATTGAAGGTGTTGGCTCTGTGTCAAGGACGCAGACAGGTCCTGGGGTGGGCTTCCGTGCAGTACTGTCAGAGCTGAGCGTTGGCCAGAGGCCACATAAAACTGGCTTTTACTGAGGGGTTAGGATTTCAGGCCAGGATGTTACCCCAGGAAATCCTGGTCTGAGGCCACAGAATGGCACCCTACTATGCACTGTGAGGGTGGGCCATGATGGTGCGTGATGTGGGGCCCCTTGATTGCAGAGGGGTGGGGCTCCTCCCTCCCCACCCACCTGCAACAGGGCCTGGCCTTTCTTCTCAGGCAGATGAAGGAGAAGGGCCTGGTGAGCATCCAGCGCCTGGCAGCCTGTCACTCGGAGGTCCTCACTGGGAGGCTGCACGACGTGTGCTTGGCGGTGACTGGGGAGGTGAGGCCCCCCAGCCTGTGTGCTGTGCATCTGGCCCTGCGGTGGCTGCTCGATGCAGTCCCCTAGCAGCTGTAGAGGGGCCGTGGCTCCAGGAACATGGGCATCCTTGTTTATTTCTCAGCCTTCAGCCACCGAGGTAGGAGGTAGCCACCCATTTCTCAGATTGGAAAACTAAGGCTTAGGGTTTCCTTATTTGTAATCTTTGGGAATGGAAACAATGAGAATCCCACATGCCCATGTGTCGGCCTGCATGGTCCTCTGTACTCAAATGCCTAATGAGGGCTGGAGTGCTCTGGGTCAGATCCCCAGATCCAGGGCAGTTGTGGTGCTTCCCAAGGCCTTTTGCTCATGGCTCTGGGTCTTGGTCCAGGCTGGGTCCAGAGAGGCAGGAAGCTGTATTTGGTCTCATGTGGAGGCTGTGTCCCACTCTTGGGAGTGGACTGCCCCAGTGGGGGTGGGTGGGGATGAATACCAAGGATGCTGTTTTGTTGACACTCAGGGGCCTGGGCGGTGTCGGGAGCATCCGCCTTCCTGAATGTGGCCTGGGGTCTCTGTTTTCTTTGCAAAGTGAGGCATCCAGAAAAAATAGTTACTTTCTCCCAGGTTAATTAGAGCCACGTCAGCACTACTGTGCTTCTCATGGCACCTACTCTCACGGAGCGGCAAAGATCAAATCAGCGCTTTAAAGACAGCGTTCACATTTCCGATGGCCATGATAATATAGATTAATAACAGATGATAACAAAATGGGACAGTTTTGCTCAGAGCAGCTGCAGGGTTTTCGTTTCCAGCATGGCAAGGCTTAGGTCAGGGGAAGGGTCGGGGAGGAGGAAGAGGGTGGAGCAGAGCCCATTCTCTGTGCGTCCCAGAACCCTTGGCAGGGTCCAGCACCCTGGAGGGCCGCTCTCCTCTCTCCAAGGTCACCAACTTGCGATCCAAGGTGTCTCGCCTGGCCATCAGCACCTTGGGAGACCTCTTTCAGGCCTTGAAGAAGAATATGGACCAGGAGGCCAAGGAGATCGCCCGCTGCTTGCTGCAGAAGATGGGGAACACCAGCGAGTTCATCCAGAGAGCAGCCGGCCGGTCCCTGGGGGCCATGGTGGAGAACGTGACCCCTGCCCGCTCCCTGGTGGCCCTCACCTCGGCGGGCGTCTAGTACGTGGCTGCCTGTTGTCTGAGGGGTGGGGGAGGTCAGGGAGGGTAAGTCGAGGGGAGAGGCCCTGGGATGTGACAGGAGGAGGGAAGGGTGCAGGCAGGGAGGGAGGCAGGCAAGTGAGGCTGCAAGGGGTCTGTTGGGATGCTAGAGGCCAAGGTCAGAGGTTCAGACTGAAGAAGGGGCCCGCCTCAGACTTCACAGCAGGTGCCTCCCATTTAGCTGGGGGAGGAGGAAGACTCCTGCTTCCCTGTGCCAAGCACCGGGCTTCTCTCCCACCTTTCATCGGCCAGGCTGGGGTAATGCAGGGAGCTCTGGCTGGAAGAGGAGGGTGCTGTTGCATGCTGTGGCTGTGGAAGCACCCCAGGAGACAGGGCTGCAGAGACAGCCTGAGCGTGGGCCCTGGATCTCCTCCATCCCCAGGAGCCGTGTTGCTTACTGATGAAATGTGGGCCAGTGAGAAGAGAAAGGTACAGAATCGAATACTTCAGCTTGCCCCGCGGGGCCTGCTCCTGTGGAGGGGAAGGTGTTGGGCTCCTGTTGGAGCCTTTCTGCTGATTTGTTTTCCCTGTCATTAAAAACCCACACTAAAAGCAAAACCAAAAGCATTTCCCAAGCACCTTCTCCCACAGAGCAAAACGCCTCTCCACCCCAGAAGTAGACCATTACACTATGCATGAGGTTTCTCAGTAGTCCGGGGGCCTGTCAGACCAGCTGGGAGACCTTTAGTAATTGCACCATAGCATATTGAGATCCTGCTGGGTGAGATCCTGCCCAGCCACTTCGCCTGGGTTCACATCCTGCTTGTCACTTCACTTCTCAGCGTCTCAGCTGACTCATCTGTAAAATGGGAATAATAATGACGTCCACCTTATGAAGTTGTTATGATAAGTAGTTGAATTGACTCATGAAAGCACACTTAGTACGGTGCCTGCCTGTGCCTGACATTCACTGAGTGCCTGCTGTGTCTATAATTCACTTGGGAGAAATTAATTGTATTTTTCTCTGGGTGCCTCCCTTTGGCTCAGCTTCCTCACCTGCAAAATGATGATGATAATAGTAGCTAATGGGGTGGAGGTGAGATAATGGATAACAGGTGCTGGCATGGAGGGACAGGCAACGGGTCACTGTCAACGAGAACCAGGGGTCATGGCTGGTGCATCTGCGTCCCCTGCGATCTTGCTGAAATGCAGATTCTGGTTCAGATGCCAGTGCTGCTGGTCCAGAGACCATGCTGAGTAGGGAGAGCTCCAATGTCCCCACTGTGTTTCTTCACTGGGGTAGGACTCTAGGGGACAAAAGGGTCAGTGCTGCTTGATGGAGTGGGGACACAGAGGCCCTTTGACAGAGGGGACCAGGCGTGGTGTCACACGCCTGTAATCCCAGCACTTTGGGAGGCCGAGGTGGGCAGATCACAAGGTCAAGAGATCGAAGACATCCTGGCCAACATGGCGAAACCCTGTCTCTACTAAAAATACAAAAATTAGCCAGGCGTGGTGGCAGGCACCTGTAGTCTCAGCTACTCCAGTGGCTGAGGCAGGAGAATCACTTGAACCTGGGAGGTAGAAGTTGCAGAGAGCCAAGATCATGCCACTGCACTTCAGCCTGGTGACAGAGTAAGACTCCGTCTCAAAAATAAATAAATAAAATAAAATAAAGAGGTGCCATTCTGACAGGTTTCTCTGATGGAGCTCGGGTTCCACTTGTTGTGCCCATCATCTCACCCAGTAACCCCTCTTCTCCCTCCTGTCTCAGTTCAGTTCAGCAAATGTGCAGTAAGTTTCTGCTAAGGGCCAGGGATGTGCCAGGCACCGGCGGGACAGTGGGGTTGCAACAGAGGGGGAAACCAGGACTCCAACCAGGACACCAGTAGGGCAGGGCCAGGGGCCTGGGGGCAGAGAAAGCAACCAGCCAGCCCTGAGGGTCCTGGAGAGCGCAGCCTAGCTTCCCTGGGACCTTGCAGAAGGACAGGCAGGTGGGTGAAAGCTGTGTCCTTTTCTTTCAGCTCTTGTCCCACCCCTTCCATCAAGCCAAGTCCGCTGAGGGTCCATACGCCCGGCCTCCACCTTCTCACCTTCCATTTCCCCGCTACCCACTGAGTGTTGCTCTTGTTTCTGCCTCACCCCAGCACCGCTCTCTGTAAGACCATTCAGGCCTTTTTTTTCTGGAGGTATTTAATGATCACTCTTTTTGTTATTATGGATTCAGCAGTGAAAAAGAAAAATGAAGCCCCTGTTTTGGAGCTTACTTCCTAGTTAAGGGAGACAGATAAACTGGTCCGTGGCTACAGGGAGCTGGCAGCCTGGTGGGAGCCCTAAGGGTGCAGCTGTGCTTCCCTGGGGGACAAAGACAGCACTACTCGTGGCTGGGACATCTAATTCTGCCTGTGGGACTGGGGAAGGAAGAGGAGGCATTGGTTAGATAGGGCTTTTCTAGGTGGAAGGAAGACGGAGAAGCGTATTTAGACAGAAGGAAGGATCTGTGCTCAGGAAGCATCCAAGAATGGTGGCATACGGAGTATTGGAGAATGTCGTGTGGCTTCATGTGGCTTTCCTTCCCTCTCCCATTGTCGCCATCACCCTATTAGTAGAAAATGAGTGCTCTTTCCCCAGAGATTTCCCTCAGCTCGTATGGGACAGGTATTTTGAGAGCCCCTGGCTGGCATGAAGCATGGGTCTGCACTGGCAGACCCATGTCTGCAGTCTGGGGACTCCCACGCCACCATCCTGAGACTGACCCCTGGCCATGATTTCCTTTCAGCCACCGGAACCCCCTGGTCCGGAAATGCACAGCTGAGCACCTCTGGGCGGTGCTGGAGCAGATCGGCGCTGAGAAGCTTCTCTCGGGCACCAGAGACAGCACAGATATGCTGGTGCACAACCTGGTGAGGCTAGCCCAGGACTCCAACCAGGACACCAGGTAGGGTTAGGGCCACGGGCCTGGGGGCAGGGAGGGGAACCAGCCGGCCCTGAGGGGCCTGGAGCACGAAGCTCAGCTTCCCTGGGACCCTGCAGAGGGACAGGCAGGTGGATGGAAGCTGTGTCTTTTCCCTTCAGCTCTTGTTCCATCCCTTCCGTCAGGCCAAGCCCATTCAGGGAGGGGTCCATACTTCCTGTCCTCACTTTCTCACCTTCCATTTCCCCTCTACCCAGAAAGTGTTGCTCTTGTTTCTACCTCACCCCAGCACTGTTCGCTGTGAGACCATTCAGGCCTTTTTTTCTGGAGATGTTTAATGATCACTCTTTCTGTTATTATGGATACAGCAGTGAAAAAGAAAAATGAAGCCCCTGTTGTCTTGGAGTTTACTTCCTGGGGATGTAGTGCCTGCCATTCCTCCTGTTCTTCCCTGCTGCAAACAGTGTTGCATGGCACCGCCTCTGACGTGCCCAGGGGCAGGACTGCGGGTCAGGCGCACGTGTGCGCTCCAGCAGCCCTGCCCTGCCTGAGGTCCGCGTTGGCCTCCTTCCTGCCCTGCCTCTCCGTGCGGCAATGTCTGGATTTCTATTTTTTATCTATCTAATGGGTGAAAATGATAGCTCATCATTGTTTTAGAGTGCCTTTCCCCTCTGCTTATTCATAATGAGTTTGAGTGTTTCTTTACATGCTTGCTAGCCTTTATGATTAAAAAAAAAAAAAAAGCAAACCTCTCTGGCTGCTGCAGGACTGGTAGTGAGAGAGAAAGGCAGGGATGCAGGAGGAACAGCAGATGATGGCTGCCCCACAGCCCAGGTGAGAGGGGCCGGAGGCTCGGACTGGAGAGTGGGGGGACGGCTTTGGGTGTATTTTGAAGGCAGAGCCAACAGAATGCAGGTGGTAAGGGTTTCAAAGATGAATTGAAGATGCTCTTAAAGTGTTACCCTGAACAATGGCGGATAATAGTGCCCTTTGCCGAAATGAGGAATGTCAGTGGAGAGGTAGAAGGTTTTGCTTACTCCTGCAAGAATAGCCATAATCAAAAAATCAAGAAATAATAGATGTTGGCATGGATGTGGTGAACAGGGAACACTTCTACACTGTCAGTGGGAATGTAAACTAGTACAGCCACGAAGGAAAGCAGTGTGGAGATTCCTTAAAGAACTAAAAGTAGAACTACCACTGGATCCTGAAAGCCCGCTACTGGTTATCTCTCCAGAGGAAAAGAAGTCATACGAAAAAGATACTTGCACACGCGTGTTTATAGCAGCACAATTCACACTTGCAAAAATGTGGAACCACCCCAAATGCCCATCAATCAATGAGTGGATAAAGAATCTGTGGTACACACACACACACACACACACACACAATGAATACATACACATAATGGAATATAATGTGTGTGTGTGTGTGTGTGTGTGTGTGTATATATATATATATATATATATAATGGAATACTACTCGGCCATAAAAAGGAATGAATTAATGGCATTTGCAGCAACCTGGACAAGATTGGAGACTATTAACTCTAAGTGAAATAACTCAGGAATGGAAAACCAAACATCATACGTTGTCACTCATAAGTGGGAGGAGTTAAGCTATGAGGTTGCAAAGGCCTAAGAATGACATAATTGACTTTGGGGACTCAGGGGAAACCAGTGGGAAGGGGGTGAGGGATGAAAGACTGCAAATAGGGTGCAGTGTATACTGCTCGGGTGATGGGTGCACCAAAATCTCACAAATCACCACTAAAGAAATTACTTATGTAACCAACCACCACCTGTTCCTTAATATCCTATGGATATAAAAAATTAAAACAAAACATTACCTGGCCAGGTGCAGTGACTCACACCTGTAATCCCAGCACTTTGGGAGGCCAAGGCAGGTGGATCTCTTAAGCCCAGGAGTTTGAGATCAGCCTGGGCTGAAACATAGAGCTATGTAGAGACATAGCAAAATACTGTCTCTACAAAAAATACCAGAATATTAGTTGGGCTTGGTGGCCTGTGCCCATGGTCCCAGCTACTTGAGAGGCTGAGGTAAGAAAATCACTTGAGGCCAGGAGACAGAGGTTACAGTGAGCTGAAATAGGGTCATTGCACTCCAGCCTGGGCAACAGAGTGAGACCCTGTCTCAACAAAAGCCAAAACAAACAAACAAAAAACACAATTCACATTGCCATTAAACTTGGGGAAAATGCTTTGAAGAGTGAGCTTTAGGGGACTGGAGGAGCAGGATGAAATGTCTAGAAACAGCCATTCTTTGTGTAGCATCTACTATGTAGTAAAGTGTCGTGTAACTCTGCCATGCAATGTGAAAAAACAAGAAGTAAAAGGTTTTGGTTTGTTTGTTGGTTTTAAATTGTTGGTGGAGGGATGGAAATCAAGGTCTAAAATCTCTCCAGATCTGATGCTCCTCTCCATTCTGACCTCTCCCTTACACTGGATGATGTTGACCACATTTCCTTTTCCCTCCTGGAACTCTGTCCTTCCTGGTTTCCATGGCACTATACTCTGGGGATTCTCCTTGTCCCTCTGTGGCTGTTCTGCCCCTGCCTGCCACCTGAGTGTAGGTGGCTGCCAAGGTGTCTTTAGGCCTCCTCTTCCTCTTCTAGCTTTCACTTCTGGTGGCTCCAGCCACCAGCAAATTTGGGGGCTTCCCAATCTTTCCCTCCAGTCCAGACCCTTCTTTGAGCATCAGTCCCCTATTTCTAAAGCCTCCATGGGACCCACCATCCAATGTCCTACAGCCATTGCCAGTGCTGAGCGTCCCTAAATGAACCCATTGCCTCCTCTCCAAGTCTGCTTCTCTGACTGTGTTCTCTCTACCATTAAAAGTGACCATTATTTACCAAGCCACCCAAGAGGCAAAATGAGGACTCTCATACTTCATTGATTTCAAGACACACATCCTCCCTTGATTTTAATATCTTTAAAATTGGCATGCATCTTACAAGGAGAGGCATTTCACAGTTGCTGTTGGGTTTCAGTTGGGCTAGGCAGTGATTATGACATAGGTGTTTTTGTTGTTTTTAAGAGATGGGGTCTTGCTATGTTGCCCAGGTTGGAATACAGTAGCTATTCACAGGTGTGATCATTGCACACAGCCTTGAACTCCTGGGCTCATGTAATCCTCCCAAGTCAGTCTCCCAAGTAGCTGGGACAACAGGTGTGCACCACTGTGCCCAGCTTATGATGTCATTATACCATCCACACCTTCACACACTTGGTCATTGTCACTATTAATTTCTGAATTAAGTTTTGCATTGTAGAAACTACACTATGAGCCTTACTTTGTAAACTTAATTTATTTTCAGAAGTGATTTTTGGATACTCTCTGGAGAATTACTGAGTTTAATCTCTTTAAAGTTTTTTAGAAATATTACACTATTATTTTCAATTGAAATGAATCATTATTGTATAGGAGAAAAGTCATGGCCACATAACAGTGACTATTCATTAGATATCAGTGAAGCAAACACTGTGGAAGGAATGACCAAGTCCCACATTTTTTGCAAAGCAATCAATAAGAACTTTACCTGAACTGAGGAAGAAAAATACCGACAAGTAATGCTATCTTCTGTTTCTGAGTTGCTTGTAGAAAGATTGCCTTCACACGTGGAGCAGTGTCGTTGGAGGCTGTGGAAATCGTCAGTTTTAATTTTTCTGATTTTCCTTAGTGGAAAATAAAGGGTGCCTTTTACAATTAATGGAGCCTTAGGTTTGAGTGAAATATGATTTATGATTTTAGATGCTTCCTGCTTCACTTCCAGCCAGCTACCAAATCCTGTGGCTTCAACCTTCTCAGCAGCTCTTGGATCTGACTGTGCTTTCTCATCCTCACTGTACTGCCTCATTTCAGGCCTGCAGCATCTCTTGCTTGGACCCTTATGGTGGCCTCCTAATACGTCTCCTGGCCCCTAGCCTTGTCTCCACCGAGCCATCCTCCGCACTGCTGCTAGAGACATTTTGACTAATGTACAAATTGAGTCATTCTTCAGCTTCCTGTTGCCTGCAAGCTGAAGCCCAGCTCCTTCGCGTATCCCTAAACAGGGCCCTGTGTTTTCCTCTGGCCTGTTTCCTGTGTCCAACCCCTGCTTACTATTCTCCAACATATCCCCCCGCAGACATGTCAGACTGTGTTATAGTCCTAAATAACCCTTTTCCTCTGATGTATCCCAAATCCCACCCAACTTGTGAACTCCTACTTATCTGTTGAGTCCCAACCCAAAGGTCACCTCTTCTATGAAGCCCTCCTTGATTCCCTCACCTGCTACCACTGTTCATTGGGTAGATTGACTATGCCCTCCTATACTGTCCTACTTTACTCTTTCTCAGACTTCTAAATGTTCCATATTAGAAAAAAGTTGAGTATATTTAGGTATAGCCATTCAACAGAATATTGTGTAGCCATTAAAAAGGATGTTTATGGAGAGTTCTAAGGGACTTGGGAAGATGATTATGAATGATAAAGTGAAAAAGCTGGATACAACTTGTATATACATTCTGATATCAACTAGAAAGTAAATGCACAGAAAAAAGACTATAGGAAAATATGTATGAATTTACTAGTGATTTTCTCTTGGTAATGGGATTATGGGCAATGTTTATTCTTTTATTAATCCATTTGTTAACTGGGTAGTGATTGCTTTTATAATTAGAAAAAGTATTAAAAACTCTCTTTAATTAGGAAGATTATGTAAAGCTGTAAAGTAACTTTATTATGCATTTCGGAGGCTGCTTCTTTATCTTGCTCTCTCTCCTGTGGCAGATTTTATGGCCGGAAGATGGTGAATATCTTGATGGCGAACACTAAGTTTGACGCATTTCTGAAGCAGTCCCTCCCATCCCACGACTTGCAGAAGGTCATGGCAGCCATTAAACAGCAGGTGAGTTGTGGGGCATGAGTGGCTCATGGCCTTTTGGGGGTGGGGGTGTCAGTGCTGAGCCTGGCAGCCTTCGAGTGGGTCAGGGGAGTGGGGAGTGGATTTCAGAGGCGTTAATTTCATCCACTGCTCCTGACAGGTGGGATAGATGTGATTTCTGTCCTCTGTGCTCACACCTGGTTCTGCCCCCACACTGCCTTTGTTCCTTGAGCCTCCCTGGGCCTCCACACCTTCATCTGTTAACTGGGGATCTTGATCCCTGCCCCAGCTATGTTCAGGGCTCTGGAAGGCTCAACTGTGACCTCCGAAGCTTTTCTAGGTGGAAGGGGATTATTGCCGTTGTTATGTCTACACTAGAATGTCTGGCAGTTCCCTGGAGGACCACTCCTTCTGTCTCATGCTCTGTGTATATTTTTCAAGGGAACAGAAGATCATGATGAACTTCCCTCCGCCAAAGGCCACAAGGTGTCAAGGAGTCTGGTGGTGTGTGAGAATGGGCTGCCCATCGAGGAGGGGTACGGCTGCTCTTGTCTCTCTGGGCTTCACATCTAAGACTTCTGACAGAGGCGTCCTGCTTGCCCATGGCCAGGGGTGGCTCTGGGGTGGACCCATGGATCTGGGGTACTGCTGAGACCTATTTGGGTCTGCAATGCTAATAGATGAATTTGCAGGATGTGTTCCCCAACCCAAATCCCAAGGAGACCAAATCCTGGGCTTGGGAGCATCAGCCAGTAGGAGTTGGTTCCTGCAGTCCCAGCTGAGTAGGTGGGATTCCTTTAGTATCTGTGGTCAGGCTGTCTGTGAGAGCTCAGTGTTTCCCATTTGCTTGGACCAGCAGATCCTTTACCCACCAGAGCGGCCAGCCTGGGACTAGTTCAGAGGCCCAGGCTTAAGTAAGGCAGATGAGAAGGCATGGACTGAGAGGCTGGGGGGAGGGTGTGTGGGGGTGCTGGGAGCAGTTAGAAACTGAGCAGGAGTCCAATGGTCACTCCTGTGCTTCAAACATAAGCCTTTCTGCAATGTCCTGGGCTGATCCCATCTGAACTCCTTAGCAGGGTACCAGGGAAGCCCCCTGCCCACTTCGTCAAAGGTAACTTCCTGCCCCCTCTCCCACTCTTCCTGTCTCAGCCAGATCAGAGCCGCACCTGGGATAAGCAAAACATGGCAGCAGCTCCTGTTCACGGCCCCTCCATGTCCTCTCTCCCGGCTGTGTCTTTGCTTATCCTAGGTGCCATCCACACCTAGAACGTGCCTGTTGGTTCTGCAAGATTCAGCTCACCTGTGCCCTTCTCCAGGAAGCTCTACCACTCGGTTCCCACATCCTCAGGGTGGCAGGCTGCCCTGTTCTTTATACCTCTGTCAGCCCAGTTGACGTCTCGGTCTCCCATTGGTCTGTGTGCTCCTAAAGGCAAAGGCTGTGCTCTCATCTCACACTTCTCAGTGCCCAGCACAGCTGCTCTCAAGCTGGCTGGAACAGGCCACAGGGCTGTGATGGGCATATGATCCCAGTGTAAGAAAATGGTGCCTTTTACAATTTCCCAAGTCGCTGGGGGATGTGAGCAGAGCCTAGCCAGCCGGGGCTCAGGTACAGGAGCCAGGCAGAAGGTTGGCCATGATGACCTCCAAGGTCTTTTCTCCACTCATACATTAAATGTGCACCAGTTGGCCAGGCGTGGTGGCTCATGCCTGTAATCACAGCACTTTTGGAGGCTGAGATGAGTGGATCATGAGGTCAGAAGTTTGATACCAGCCAGGCCAACAAGCTGAAACCCTGTCTCTACTAAACATACAAAAATTAGCTGGGCGTATGGTGGCACATGCCTGTAATCTGAGCTACTTGGGAGGCTGAGGCAGGAGAATCGCTTGAACCCGGGATGTCGAGGTTGAAGTGAGCTGGGATCATGCCATTGCACTCCAGCCTGGGCAACAAGAGGGAGATTTGGTCCCCCCCCCAAAAAATGTGTACAGTCATTTTTTTATGGTTAGCTACTCCCTCACTCTGACTCCCCCACTGCTTAAATATCTTCTGAAAAGAGAAAAAAATGGTGGGAGGAGAGAACCCTGACCCCTGACCCCTTAGGGCCCTGGGCAACAAGCTGTAGGTGGGGGGAAGCTGGGGGTGGTCTCTGCCCCACCTGCCTGTAGAAGGTGGCATGGGACTGGAAGTGGGTTTATTCTGCGGGGCTCGTCCCTGGGGGTCAGACACTCTGCTCCTTACCTAGGCTCAGCTCCAATGGCCCGAGGCTGGTGGGGCTGCGCTCCTCGCTGCGGGGCGGCCGGGAGATGGTGGAGCAGCTTCGGGAGCTGACGCGGCTGCTGGAGGCCAAGGACTTCCGGTCCCGGATGGAAGGCGTGGGGCGGCTCCTGGAGCTCTGCCAGGCCAAGCCGGAGCTCGTGGCTGCCCACCTGGTCCAGGTCAGCACTGCCGGCTTCTCCCTCCAAGCTGTCTCTTCTCTGTGGGTGCAACTTGAATTTGGACAACCCTGAATGGGGCCGGACATTGGGTCAGACCCCTCAGGGTATAAGGAGCACTTGCTGTGCAGTTGGCCTTTGTAAGGCGACTACCTGGGAGTGGCTGAGTGAGGGCACCACCTCCTGCTGGCACCTTAGAAATGCTCAGCGATGTCTCTTGTCTTTCTAGCAGATTTACAGCGAGGCGGGTAGGAGGCAGAGGTGGCGGGCACTGGGGTGAGGCCTTGGGTTGCTTCTGGGGAGTTAGGTACATAATGTTTGGGGCAGAGCATGCGGCTGGACAGGTGACGGGGCCGTGGTGGCTGAACAGGTGTGTTAGGAGTAGGTACAAGCCCTTCACAGGCTGAACACTACGGTGGGTGCCTGCTTCTTCATGGAGTGACGATGCTGACAGTCAGTTACAAAGCTGAACAAAGACACAGGCTCAGAGTCAGCAGACCTGGGTTTCCGTCCAACTTTCTTACCAGCTATGTGATCTCAGGCAAATCGTTGAGCGTCTTGCAGCCCCAGCTGTTGCTGTTGTTTATGGGAAAGTGAGGGCGATAACACGTGTTCCCTGGGTTGTTAAGATCAGTCAGTGAAAAGGAGAGTGCAGAGCAACTAATAAGATGTCCTGGACACTTGTCATGCGATGAGTGCTCAATACCTGTGAGTTCCTCCCCTCGTGACCACCCTTTTGAGGAGGTGAGCTCTTTGTTTTTGGGAGTGCTCTGGCATAGGTCAGGGATGCAGGAGGAGTCCCTGCCAACGGCGCTCAGTTGGGCTGGGGGGGGGCTCCAAGCTGCCTGCACGGTGCGAGTCCCGCCAGCCTGGATTCCCATGCACTCTTGGTTTGTTTCCTCAATAGATCTTTGATGCTTTCACCCCAAGGCTTCGGGATTCCAACAAGAAAGTGAACCAGTGGGCGCTGGAGTCCCTCGCCAAGATGATCCCCCTCCTCAAAGAGAGCTTACACCCCGTGCTGCTCTCCATCATCATCGCTGTTGCAGACAACCTCAACTCCAAGAACTCAGGGATTTATGCGGCTGCGGTGGATGTGCTGGATGCAATGGTTGAGAGCCTGGGTGAGTGTCCCACCTGGGCCTGTGTGGCTGTGGTTGCCATGCCCGCCTTCCTGCTTGGAAATCTGCAAGGTGGATATGACCTTGGTTGGTTCGCAGGCCACCAAATGTTTCACCAGAAGCTGTGTAGGGCAGAGGTGGGTCCCAGGGCCTCCAAAGGTCTTGGCTGGTGGGCCTTCCCATGCCACGTCCCCCCACACCTCTGGATGGTTGGAAGTGGAGGTGATGTGGAGATGATCCAGTCCAGCCTCCTCATAGACACATGAGGGAAATGACCCCCCCTGGGCCACGAGGCACCACAGTGGATGAGTCAGGAGTTCTGGGAAGGCTTAAGCTTGGGGTGGTGGGCATGGAGGGGAAGTGGAGGGAGGGGATAGAGGATAGAAAGGAAAAAAGTTGGGAGTTATGGAAGAGACATCAGGGAAGGTGAGAGCTTCTTGGTATGACATTTTGCTTCTGGGATGTTACAGGGAATGTTGGTGCATCTGCTCGTATTTTCTTATTCCTGTCATGGGCGATATAAGGTGATGTTTGGTGTACTCAGTACACGGACCAAAGTGCAAATTCCCAGCTTCGTGTGTGTGGAGAAAGTAGCACATAAGTAGACTTATGTCAAGGCCAGCAGAAGGACCAGTTTTCCCAAACAAGCCTTGCTTCAGTGCGAGGAAGTCATAGTCTGAAAACCGCCTGTTAGCCTTGTTGCTGTGTGTCCCGATGAGCATAGAGCAACATCTTGCCTTTAGCATCTAAAGACCATCCTTTAGTGGGGCTGGACACACCTACTGACATACTGGCTTCCCTCCAACCCGCTTCCTGGCCTGAGCCCAGCTCCCTGGGGCTGGGACAGCCGCCATGCCCTTGGCTGGAGGCTCCAGGAAAAGTTTCAGTTACAAATCAAAGGCCTGGTCAGGTCCCTCTCTGCCTCTTGAGTTCATAAATATTGTCAATTTCTGCTCTTCATCTCAGAGGGAATTTATGATTTGCTGAGTTTGTTGCTGTAGAACAAACAATATAAATCCAGCTCTGAATTACGGCTTGTTCTCAGCGCTGCTCTGGGTAAGTGAGATTGCTGTTGCCAATAACCAAGGCTCTTGGTAAATCACTATGGGCCTTGGATTTATTGGGAAAACCTGTACCAAGCAAAATGGGCTTTAGCTATTTGAAGAGGATAAGCATCCTTGTCTAGGGAGAGAAATTTTTAACTCTTTCCCCACCAGGTGTTTTAGTTTCCACTTGTTGCCATCAAGGCCAGCCTCCTTGAGCTTGCTGGAACTGTGGCGCTTCAGGCAACAGAATCTAGTGTCTCACATTGTCACAAGACTCAGGTCCCTCTTATCCGGGGCCCTGCTGTACCCCTACTAGACTGGACCTCCTGGAAAGGAGAACCTGGGGATGGCCTGCTTTTGTGATCTGAACTCAACTGATGGCAGGATTGTAGCTACCAGGAAGATGCCTAACTCCATCCTTCCAGGACAGGGCCTCTTTGGGTATGGCTGACAATGTACCCTCTGGTTCATCAGCCAGAGGCTTTGGTGCAACGGGAAGCGTTGCTGCCTTCCTCTCTAATCCATAGGTCAGTGCTCAGGCTGGATTGGAGTGCTGTGGGCCTCAAAGGGATGAATGCAGTCCAGTAAATCCCTGGCAAAAGGCTCTGGTGGAGCCCAACGGGTAAAATACTGTTTTTTTGTTTTTGAGATGGAAATTTTACTCTTGTTGCCCAGGCTGGAGTGCAATGGCACAGTCTCAGCTCACTGCAACCTCCACCTCACGGGTTCAATTGATTCTTCTGTCCCAGCCTCTTGAGTAGCTGGGATTACAGGTGCGTGCGCCACCATACCTGGCTAATCTTTTGTATTTTTGGTAGAGATGGGGTTTCACCATGTTGGCCAGGCTGGTCTCGAACTCCTGACCTCAGGCGATCCACCCACCTCGGCCTCTCAAATTGCTGGGATTACAGGGGTGAGCCACTGAGCCCAGCCAAATATACTGTTTTAGATCCAAGTAATTTTTGAGCAGGTGAGGCATGGGCTATCTGGACCCAGTGGCTTTGCTGTAAGCCACACCCTCTCAGCCCAGCCAGCAAAACGGGTTTTGAAAGTGTTCCTAACTTTGAAGTGCCAAGCTGGTTTCCACATCCACGTAGGTCAGAACTGGAGGGCGTTAGGTCATCCACAAGGAGAACTCATCATTGCCCGGGAGTACCTAGGGTAGACTCTGTCTCTGGGAATGGTTCTTATCTGCCTATAATGGTCTGAGCCTGGGCTGCAGATGGAAGTAGCTACATTTCTTCGGTGTCCCAGGGAATTGAGTGGTAGCGGCAGAGAGTGCATCAAGTTGGACGGAAGAGAAGGGGTATAAAGTCCTCCCAGATCACCCAAGCTGAGCCTGGTGGTTCTAGTGGTTTCTTGGGGGATCCTTACCACCAGAGGCCCCTCCTGGAAGTGGCTTGAATTGGATATGATCCAGTTTCTTTGATGGCAGGAGTGTTCCTCCAACCCTCCTTTTTCATGCTGCATAAGGGATTCTGGGCTCCAGGCTGGAGATGAACTGTTCAATGCTGGGAAATATTTAAATGTGGAAAGTAACAAAGCAACAGCTCAGCAGATTACTGTTTATTTCCTGCTACCCTGGAGATCAAGAGGATCAAGCAAGAATAATGCCAAGCTAAGATGTCTTCTGGCATAAAGTCCAGATGGCACAGCCAGGTTGGGAGGATGGCCTTCTTAGGGACCTACTAAAACTCACGAATTTTAAAATTCAGTGATAAAGAAGCCAACATCATCTCTTCTGAGCCCTTGTTTTCCCCAAGGTGGGTGGGGTTGAATGGAGTATTGATGGAGCAGGTGGGGATTTCTGCCCATGTCCTTTTCTTGGGAAGTAGTAAGGAATGAGACATGTTGCAGCTTGCTTCTTGACCTCTGCCATCTGTCACTGCCAGCCTTGAGGCCTCTCTGGGATTGAGGCTCAAGTTGCATTCTTTCTACTTAGCAGTAAGACCTTCTGATTTCAGGGGAATTATTCCGGGATCAAGGAAGTTCCTGAGTAGAACTGGTTGGCTCTGTCTTTGGGCTCTGTTACTGAGTTAGTTACAGAGGAAACGTCACTAATTAAAACATCAGGCTGCTGACAGCTCATCCCCTCCTGGTCAGACCTCAGCATTCAGGCTTCTCAGTGCCAAAAGGAACTCTCGTAATTTAGTCCAGCCCCTGGTCAGTACTGGAGAGAGCAGATAAGCTTGGAATGGGTTGGCTTCAGGTCTACTTTTGCTATTTTGCTCTCTGACTTTAAATTTATTACCTTATATAAATCCTATGAACATTATATTGTTAATGGAATTAAAAAATGCATCCATGATGCTTCTCCAATATGCCAACTGCTTAAAAATATCTCCATCTTCTATTTTTGTATCTCTATATACAAATTTCCCTGGTTAAAAATCATAATGTAAATACAGTTTTGATCTTGCTTCTTTCATTTAACACTACCCAGTTCCCCATTAGGCAGTCTCTCTAGTTAATTAAAAAATCTAAAGTTTGCTTCTACCACTGTAAAGAAATCATACTTCTTATTGAGAAAATGAAAATACAAAGCATTTGAAAGGCAAAAAAATCCCTCACTCATAGTCCCAACTTTTAAAAGAAACCGTTATTAACATTTGGTATTTTTTGAGTTTTTTCCTGTGTACATTTGTGTGCATGGGTGTTATAGGGTAAACACACCTGATAGCAATAATTTAAGCATCCCCTTAGAATGACTTTGAATGGCAGACACACCTGAACGTGTGTCCCGAGCAAGGGAACCTGGGAATGGCCAACTCTGAGATTTGTTGCTTGTTTTTGAGGCACATCTGAGCCCCCGACCTGTCCCTTGGAACATGAGCCACACAGGGGGTTGAGGCCCCGAGTTTTGGGGGGTAAATGAAGGTTGCCAGGTGAATATGCTGTATAAATTGCATGCTGTTTGCAGATGATTGTGATTTTCCTGCCCAGCCCTCCCACACTGGGCCGTGAGGTTCTCCCATTCAGCCTGCAGTCACTGGAGTCTCTCCCCTGTAGGTAAGGCCCTAATAAAACCCCATGTCTCGTTTGTTGGCTCTGGGTCTCTTGAGCCAGATACCCTTCCTGTTAATAGGGGATAATAGGGGCTCAGTGCAACAATTGTGATGTTATACATTTGAATTTGCATTCTGCTTTTAAAAAATCAGCATACGCATTTGCAGAAGATTATACTCTTGAGTCACTTTTTTTTCCTTGAATTAGAGTCTGGCTCTGTCACCCAGGCTGGAGTGCAGTGGTGCAGTCGGGGCTCATTGGAACCTCCACCTCCTAGGTTCAAGCGATCCTTCTGCCTCAGCCTCCCAAGTAGCTGGGATTGCAGGTGTGTGCCACCACACCTGGCTAATTTTTGTCTTTTAGTAGAGATGGGTTCACCGTGTTGGCCAGGCTGGTCTCGAACTCCTGACCTCAGGTGATATGCCCATCTCAGCTTCCCAAAGTGCTGGGATTACAAGCGTGAGCCACTGTGCCTGGCCTTGAGTCACTTTTAACAGCTCCATCATGTGGCTGCACCGTAGCTTGCATGTTTCTGTGTAAGTGAATCAGTCTCAGTTTTTTCTTATTTATTTTTTTTTTTGAGATGGAGTTTCACTTTTGTTGCCCAGGCTGGAGTGCAGTGGTGCAATCTCGGTTCACTGCAACCTCTGCCTCCCGGGTTCAAGCAATTCTCCTATCTCAGCCTCCCCAGAAGGTGGAATTACAGGCATGCACCACCATGCCCAGCTACTTTTTTGTATTTTTAGTAGAGACGGGGTTTCACCATGTTGGCCAGGCTGGTCTCAAACTCCTGACCTCAGGTGATCCACCTGCCTCGGTCTCCCAAAGTGCTGGGATTACAGGTGTGAGCCACCGCATCTGGCCCAGTCTCAGTTTTTTCTTTAGATGAACATACTTAGTGTTGGCAGCCATGATGAGTGTGGTATGTCATAACTTACCAACTCTTGTGGT